ACATTTGAGATGCTGCAGATTCCTAAGCCTAGGGAATATGCAGATATATGACCTCTGTAGGTACATAGCAGGGAAGTGGGGGATAGTCTTGGGCTTTGTGTGTTTTTGCCTATGAGGATGTGGTGAGTTAACAAGAAAGGTCAAGGTTGGAAACTTTCAACAAGGGGCAAGCAAATTGCTATAATGCCAATGAACTTGACTTCTGAACTTCCCACCAGAACATGAATCGCCTGCCAATGACAACAAACAGAGTGGATTCCTAATCTGTGATCAGAGCAAATGATTTACTTTGTAATGTGGTAATGGATTTCAAATGTGTTGTGCTCTAAATACCAAATCTTGGCATATAATTTTATATTTCAGATAGCCAGTGTGAAGGGTTCTTAAATTCAACATGCAAATCCATTACTAACAGACACTAGAATCACGTTGTATTAAGAGATGTGGCATTTTTCTTTTTGCTTCAAAAAACAATTTGTAGGACTGCAATCCTGCTGCTGCTTCATGGTGGCCTGAAAAACCCACTCCTTGAGTTTGCTTTGAGGATTCAGTTATAGTCTTCCTCTCTCATTCACACCCAGAACACCTTAGGTGATCATAGGACCTTTGGCATGTTTGCAAGTTGCAAAGGCAACAGATATTGAATTATACCAAATCAATCAAATCTCTAATTTAGATGGGAGCACAGAGCTTACAGTCGAATTTCTTTATTTTCAGATGGATAACTTATCTAATTGTATCAAGTCTGACACAGTAGAATGCATTCCAAAAAAAAAGTACATAGGCCATCAATGGCAATTTTTCTGACCAAATGAAAATGTAAAATAGCATAAATAAAAAACTTAGAGAGAACAAAGATTAGATTTATTAATTAATTTGTCAAGATATTAGGAGACACCCTGTTTTCCAGAGCTAAGGCCCAGCAAGCAAGCTGTGCTCTGAGCTTGGCATAACAACAATCCTTCATGCTCACCCTCTGGATGATCTCACCCTCTAACAAAATCATGGCATTACTGTATTGCTTTGACCAGGACCAGGTATTCTCAGACAAGTACCGGACAAGCTTGGATAGGTTCTGGTCACGAAGCCCTGCAACGAATCAAACTTGTCCCATTGCTGCTGTTACCCCTCATTGTCAGGGCTACAGCTCCCTGTGCAGCCATTGGTATAAGTATCAAGGTTTAGCTCCACTAAAGTGGGCCTCCCCACTAGGGGCAGGGCACCAGCATATTTGTCCTTCCTTGCAAGCCCATTTCCCTCACTTTGAAATTACACTTCTGTTTGATTCCTGATTCTCTTGTTTCTAGTCTGCTCTGTTCAGCTCTGGCCATCCACAGGTTAGAGGCTGGTTCAGTTTGGTTGACAAATTCAATTTCTGAAATCAGTCCTCAACGATGATACTGCAGTGAAACTGATGCCGCCCACCTCTGAGAGTGCTTCCCAAGATGTAATGTGGCATCATCTCATTTATTTCTGAATTGCTCTCCCACTGATCAGATAGTACAGAAAGCAAATATTTGTCCTCTGCCTCTGAGAGTTAATGACAGCAAAGTTCCCTCCCTTGGTGTGATTTTTTACTTCATAATACTGTCTCTTCTCCTCCTTCCAAAGAAAATACAACATGAAGCTATGTTCTAGGTTGCCCTTGAGTTGGAATACTTCCACTCAAGAGGCAAGGCAAATTCTTATGGAATGAGACTCCAGAATGAAGTTTCAGAGATGGAGTTTTAGAGGCTGAGGCCTGTAGGAGTTTTTGCCCTTCTTTGTGATATCACTGGGTAGAGGTGGAGGAAAAAGTTGCTAATCTGCACAATGGTGAAATGGGATCTTGACTCTTACTGAGAGTTCACATATTGGCTCTGCTACTTTCTAGTGGGGTGGCCTTGGTCAGGTCACTCAACTACTTTGGACCTTAGTATTCTCAACTATAAAATGAGAGGGATAGGTGTGACAACCTCCGTGATACTTTCCAACTCTAAGTCCTATAAGCTTATTGAAAAAAAATTCTATTGGGAAATAAGCATGATAGATATAGGGTTCCCCATGGCACATTCCCTAGAGTCTTTTGGAGAACATCTATAGGTTGTTTCAAGCCTGGAGAAGTAGAAGTGGATGGATTATAAAAATAAAGTGTTTCTGAAGGGACCATATCGAGCTCTGGCAAATGAGAGTGAATTTTCCGGGAAACCTCTAAGTGGACATGGAGAAATGATTCATAGAAGGAAGAGTTGGCACATATTCAGCCACATAGATACAAGCAAATTGCTCTCATATAATATCTATATGGCTTCTATGAACTTATGGGTCTAGGGAGAGAGAGGGGAAAACCCTGATAAGAAACAGAAAGCACTGTCCAAGAAATCTAGCAATCAATCTGTTTTATGCAAGGGTTCTTGCCAAGTCAGTAATTAAAATGTGCTGTCAATGAATTATAAAGCATAAATGTGTCAGAGCCAATCCATTGCAAATAAGCAAGATGGCATTTGGAAGACACTTCCCAGTCATTTGTTTAATTTCTTTACATCATTTCCTCTCCTTTTTGGGTTTGCTTTTGAGTTGGACTCCAGGTACAAATGAATAACCAACTAATCACAAAACTAATGATGACAGGACTAATAATTGCACTGCTAATAGTGACAGTGCTAATTAAGATAATGCTTATAAAAACAAACTCCCCTTCAGGACTTGACTCTCAATCTTTGAAAGCTATAAGAAAATTCTAAACATATCTTTGGGTAAGTCAAGTGTGAAAAGCATCAAGAACAAGGATGGATATTTTTCCTTTTGCTCCAGTTGTGTCTGTAGGAGACAAAAAACAGTCCCAAAGTGAGGCCAACTCTAAGATTAAGGATAAAAGGTGATTGAGGCAGAGGTCAGCAAAAAGAAGAGCCTCAAAGATTAAAAGCGTCATTCACAAATGAAGCTGACAGGACTCTATATTCCTTGGTTGTGGGATCATTAGTTACTTACAGGAACCCCTCCTGGGATTCTGACTCCAAAATTCTATGTTCATATCCTACATGGGCATCTGGAGATGACTTAGGCTTTGCTCAGATAAAAGCATCTCTATCCAGTTCACCGAGAAGAGCCAACTTTAAATGTAATTACTGGAAAATAATTACCTAACTTGAAAATCATAATATGTTATGCAAATATATTGAAACAAGGAAGGAAGAAGCTAGAGGTAAAGTAGTAGAATGATGACCCTCCTCAGGTTTAGTGGGGAAGAATTTATCAGAGCATTTTCAACACCACCTAGGAGTGAGAGCTTCAGTAAGAGCAGGGTGATTCAACAAGTTATCATGGCTGAGTTGACAATATTCCTGAAGAGCAATTAACCCCTGTTATGAGGCAGCATCCACATTATTAATCAGATATTCCAAGTACTTCAATGTTAGCTTTCTATGGCCTAATGAAGACAGTCCAACCTCCTTAATTTGGCATTCAAGGTTTTCCATGGTCTGTCGCCATGCAATACATACTTTACTTATCTCAAGCTGCTATCTTCCAAACTGGACTATTTGCCATCCCCAGTACACATCCCTTGATTTGCTGCTTCTGTGACTTTGCTCATGCTGTTACTTATGCCTGGGATGCCATCCTTCTACAATGCCAGGCATTGAACCTCTTCAATGCCTTATTTTCCCTCACTCCATAAATCCAATCAGTTGTTAAATCTTGCTATTTCTACCTCCACAAGGCCTTTCACATCTGACACCTTCTCTCTTTATTCACATACCTACCACCTTGGTTCAGGTCCTCATTACCTCTCACCTAGATCATGGCAGCAGCCTCTCCATGCCTTAGACCAATAGCGCACTATATGCTCTGGTGCTAAAGTGATTTTGCTTAAGCAGAGATCTGACCATGTCTGTTACTTCCTAGTCAGTCCACTCTAGTGGCTTCCCATTGCCCCTAGGATAAAATATAAACTGCTCTGTTTAGATTTTAAATTCCTTTTCAACCTTATCCCAAACTATCTTTCCAACCTCTTTGAACATTACTCTCCCTCATATTTTCTATGATCTAGCTAAATTGGCTTTCTCTGTTCCTAACATAAGACCAGGGATGTGCTGTAACCAACTATTGAGAGCCCACTGTTAAATTTTCAGCATAAGTCCTTCCACTTCTTAAATCAACAAATTCTACAAATCAGGGATTGACTTGTTTTATTGATTGTATAGGTTTTGGAAAGTGGTGGAGAAAATGTTAATAATACAGTTTAAGCTTAAAAGTATCCTTTGGGCACAATTTTGTTTTATATTTCAAAGATTCAGTTGTTAAATATTTATTAGCACATCCTGTGCCTAATCTGATACCACCTATTGGCTTCTCCCATCTCGAAACGAGCCTCTTTATTTTCTTGTATACTTACTTCTAGGAAATGCCCTACAACTTCACAAAAGGTGTATAGATATCAGAGATCCATGCACAGTCATGAATGAAATACAAAGCCCACAGAACTTTTCCTATTGAATGTATATACCATTTGTTATTCCAAACTCACTTAAGCCAAATACCAAGGCATAGTAGGAATTTAAATGAAATGAACAATCAATATATAGTCAACGGACAGCCAAAGAAAGTGATTGAGAGTTGGGTAAGGGCTATTTAGGATTGGGTTTAATAATACACATTTAGTTTCAGTTCACTTCCTTTCCCATGAAATAATCCTGGTTCATTCAATTCAAACCAGTTCCAAGCTAGCTACCTTGAACAAATTAGCATGAAGCCACAATTTGGGTATGAATAGTTTCAAAATAACCCACTGAGATGGAGGAAAAACAAAAGTAACTAGTTACTGCTTTTCAGTCAGGATTTAGATGGATTACTGACCAAGTTTGGAATCTGAAACATCAATATGTTGACATAACTTGACATATGTTGAGAACATTGGGTCTTAGTCCTGGCACACCAGCCCTTTGGTTAAAATCTGCCATGTCTTTGAACTCCTATGGAAACAACAAGTCTTCCCATGATAGTCCAGCTTCTTGTCTTACCTGCCCAGCAAAAAGCCCACAGACACCAATGATGCAGAGAATATTGAAGACAGCTGAGCCAACGATGGTTCCAACACCCACATCCCCTTTAGTGATGAAAACACCTGGAAAAAAAGTCCAAGTCATTCAATCTTCTTACCTGACTTCACAAACAGACCCCTTAGGGTTATTAAACTGTGCATACCCTTTGACCCAGCAACTACAAGTCAGTCTCCCAAAGCAATTAAAGAAAAGGGAAAGGGACATATTTGTACAAAATTATTTATAGCAGTTACTTTTGTGGTGGAAAAGAATTGGAAATTGATGGGCATCCCATCAGTTGGGGAATGGCTGAACAAGTTGTGCTACGTCATTGTGATGGAGTACTACTATGTTATAAAAAGTGATGAACAGGACGGTTTTATAAAAACCTGGGAAGAATTATATGAACTCATGCAAAGTGAAGTGAGCAGAATGAGAACAATGTACACAGCAACAGCAATATTATAACAATGATCAACTATGAAAGATTTAGCTATCCTGATCAAGATGATGATCCAAGATAATTCCAAAGGACTCCTAGTGCAAAATGCTATTTACCTCTAGAGAAAGAACTGATGAACTTTGAATGCAGATTGAAGCATAATGTTTGACTCTTTTTGGTCTGTTTTCTTTTGCAACGTGGCTAATGTGGAAATATGTTTTGTATGACTTCACATGTATAATAGACATTAAATTGATTGCCTTCTCAAGAAAGAAGAGGGAGAGATTTGGAACTCAAAATTTTAATATATGAATATTAAATGGTTTTTTTACATGTCATTGGGAAATATTTAATGAAATAAACAAAAGTATCTTAAAAACAAACCACTTTATGTAGATCCTTTCAGTCCCCAAATTCATAATTTTGATACTTCTTTGGTAGTTATGGAAAACATACAGGGCTTAGGAGGATATGCTAGAAAGGTTTCTTTTGTGCAGCAAAACAGAATCACTATACAGAATCATCAACATTCTTTTATGAGGCAAAGTCAAATAATGTTAGCCTACCCATACACTAAGAAAAAATACAAAAACCAGAAAGGGGAGCTGGTGGTCCCCATCCACCATATTGACCCAGATCACCTACTTCATCATAGCCCACCTGGATAGTAGGCCTCCAGGTTGGCATATAGTTAGTCTTACAAGAAGTCACTTGGGTATTAGGGGTGTCCCTTTCATCATTAGTGAAAATCCCAACCCATCAATGCTTACAGGCAGTTATTTTGACAGTTGCTCCCCATTCATGGCATCATAGAAAGAAGGGCTGGTGAGTTGTGTCATCACATAGTTACTTACATATAACCATATAATTACTTAGACTAGGAAGTGTGCCATAATAGATTGTGCATTGGTCTTGGAATTAGGAGATTTGGGTTCAAGTTTTGCATCTTACATACTGTAGCTGTGGGAACCTAGGCATAGAGCCCCACATAGCTCTTTAGGGTTATAAACTACAGAAGTTACTGATCTGCCTTTGTTTAAAGATATTTCACCACTGAAGGCTGGCATTGCAATTATAGGTCCAGACCAAAACAATAGCAATAAGAGTATTTACCTATAACAGAAGTAAATAACTCAGGAGCAGAGCTTCCAGCTGCCATGAAAGTAGCTCCAGCCACATCTTCACTGAGATGGAGGCGCTGCAGAGGAGCACAAGTAAAACCATCAGTGAGTTCCTGATCATTAGGACAAAGGATAGAAAAAGTGGGCAATCATCTAAGTGAAATACGCAGAGGGGCATATTAAAATATTATTCATTACAAAGACATATTTTTGAAAGTTTTTATATTTGTAGTAATTTTATGCTACAGTAAAATAATTTTACATTAAGACTTAGGGAGGTAGGAAGAGGATAAGGATGGAGAATTGGGTTGGGGACCTCTGAACAATTTAACAAACAAAAAAAGAAACAACATCCAAAAACTCATGGCAGAGAGGGAGGAGGTAGAATGGGGAAGTGGTTTGAGAAGGTGTGCAACTTCACAATTGGTTTCTTACTCAATATTATTAATAATTAGAAGACTGTGTCCTGACTCTTTCACTACAAAATATAAAGGGACAGAGAATAATACATCCAATGTAGAAACTAGGAGGAAGAAGGGGTTGGCCAATAGAATTGAGGAGAAATAGAAACAAACATTGAAAGAGCCACACACAGAGTTAGAGGACTATTGGTGATAGGGTATGGGCCAAAGTCAAGACCTTTGACCCTCACTCCAAAAAGAATTTGGGTTCCATTTATCTACAGGCCCCAGAAAACCCTTAAACTGTCTTTGAACTCACTTATCTGGTCGAGGAAGTTTAGCAGTCTCCTGATTATTAACTGGCCTATTCCCTAGGTTCTATCTCCCTTTGATAACTTAATGAAGTCTAGTCTTATCCAGACCCCATTCAAACTCTTTCTTCCCTATTTCCCAGTTCTTTGTTACCCTGATGAAGCCTAGCCCTTCATTGTCTCTTCCTGGAGGACCCCATTCAACCTCCCAGACACTCCCATTGGGGTTCTCCCTAAACTCCCAGCCCCTCCTCCAATCACCCCAAATTACTTGGCTGTACATAAGATCTATCCTGGCCCCCATTTAAGTGCTCAGGTTTCCTCATGCCCACTTGTCCTTACAGGCATCAATAATGTTCAGATTCCTTAAGTGTCTGGCCTGTATGGCTCATCTGTAATAAAACCTTTTCTCTGGCTAAAAGAAGACTTGGGTCAAATTTATTCTGACAGGATCTGTGTGTCGCGATTTTGGGGTCCAGCCACCCCTAGCATCTACACCTCAACACTGGCAGCTAGGTGGCCCAGTGGATAGAGTTCTAGACTTGGAGTCAGGAAGACCTGAGTTCCAATCAACAATTTTCCCATGTTTATGACCCATTGTATAGATTTTTACACACACACACACACACACACACACACACACACACTGCTTTTTGGGAGAAAATTAATATGAATAAGAAGGAAGAAGCCCAGGAGTAGCATTTGGATCTCAGTTTCAGACAAACCTGCCCTCCTCTTTGTAATTTGCTTGGGAAGAGCCAAAGAGTTGGGGCAACAGTCTTTGCAATAATTCCTAACAAAAGCCTGAATTACAGGATAGTGGATGCCTTCTTTTCCCTCATCCTGGTAAATCCCTCAGGCAGAACATCCCAAGCCTCTCAGCTGAATCCTTTTCACTTAGTCTGGACACCTGCCTCTGAGCTATGGTGACCTGCTGAAGGGGAAGACACTGAATAATGTCAGGAGAAAGGATGCGCTGAAGTAGTAACTAACCACTTAACTAGAGACCCAATACTTCCCCAGGTCCTGGTGTTGGAGAGATGCAGTTTAGAGGGACAGCTCCCCAATACATCAGAAGGCAAACTCCATCATGAGATACCTAAAAGCGTATTTTTAAATGGCAGAAGATTCTACTCTGCCAGGCACAAAATCAATCAATTGAACAAATATTTATTAAGTACCTGCTACATGAGAATCACTGTGATAGGCACAGGATATTTGAAGACAAAATGAAAACCTGTCTCTGCTGTCAGTGAGCTTACATTCTACTGAAAGGCTTATAAGTACGCAGATAAGGACAAGAGGACATGATCAGGAGCGGCTAGTAGGATCAGAAGTGGCATCTTTTTCTTTTGAAGAAGATGGCACCTGAGCCCTGCTTTGCAGACATCTAGACAGTCAATGCATTTATTAAGCATCTGACGCTGCTAAACAGAGAGGACACAAAGAAAGGCAAAAAACAACCCCTGCCCTCAGGTAGCTTACAATCTAATGGGGGAGACAACATGCAAACAACTCAGAGGGAAGATCTTGCAGGGAGGAAGGAATGGGGTCTAGAGGCAGGAAAAGGCCTCCTGCAGAAAGTGGGATGTGAGCTGAGTCTTGAAGAAGGACAGGGAAGCCAGGAAGTGGAAATGAGGAAGAACACTTCAGGCATGGAGGAAAGTCAAGGAAAAGGCATGGACTCTGCAGATATTTTGTGATAAGCTGAGTCACCAGTGGGATGAGGAGGCACAAAGCTTCCAGTGGACAGTAACATGGAATTAAAAAAAAATGTTATTGAGGGCTCACAGATGCCTTGTCCTGGCTCTGGCTACTAAGCCCATCATAGAAAAATGGAAACCAGTGCTTGATTGGGGTCAGTACTACTGACAATATCTCACAGGTACTGGTAATGGGCAGATGTCTCATTGGAATCGGCATATTCAGAACTGAGGAGTGGACTCAGCTCTTCACTTTGGGCATAACACTATACTTCCCCTATCTCTTCTTACTAACTTAGGTCCAATTCTTCCACTAAGCCAATGTCCTGGCAAATGCTGATCTTGCTGCCCTCTAGAAACATACCAAGGCTGCCAAAGGATGGTTGTGTTCCTACTGGTGCCTAATTATTGAAAGCAGACCTGGAGAACAATACTGAAGAAACTTTGGAAGTAGGGAGTGTGGAGACACCCCCTCTGGACTACCCTTGTGTGCTCTCCTCCCAATCCTGACTGCACTCCAATACAAATTGTGTTCATGAGTGATACGATACAGCAAATTACCTGGCATCAACAAGGTTAGTGCTACAGCCTATGTTTCCCAGCTAAAACTATATATTAACTGAAAGCTATTGATGATTACGAAAGAAAGCCATATGGGAGAGTGCTTGTTAAGACATTTGCTTTGTCTGGAGGACATTTTGATCCATAAATAAACATGGCAAATAGCCATTCATGGTACAGAAGCAGCCAATTGAGAATGAGTAAATATCAAATTTCCAACAAGTATATTTTAGACCCTGGAAGCCATGGGGTCCTTTCCCCAAACTCAACCACTTCCTGGTTGTATTTTATTTCTGTACCATCAAGGGTGAGCAACGGTAATACTAGATTGATAACAATTAAATAGTGACCCTTAATAAGACTTGTAAATTGAGAGACCTGAATTCTTCCTGTTGTTTGAACATGGGCACGATGCCATGGAAAGAGAGGATTTTTATGGTCTAAGTTGGAGGTGAGAATTCTGTAAGGCTGAGGAGCAGGACTCTAGGAAGGGGAATGGAGTCATTGGGGTTTTAGCCCAGAGGAAAAGACTACATAAAAGGAGTAATCAAACACATGGCAAACCAAATATGCTTACAAGAGTCTGTTCTGTCTTCGATTTCTTTCAAGCTCTGATTGTCATCTCTAAGAGCTCGACTTGTTCAGTTGTTTTTCAGTTGTATCTTACTCTTCTTGACCCCATTTGGGGTTTTCCTGGCAGAGATACTGGAGTGGTTTGTCATTTCCTTCTCCAGCTCTTTTTATAGATGAGGAACTCAGGCCAACAGGGTTAAGTGACTTGCCCAGGGTCATGCAATTAATAAGTGTCTGAGGTCAGATTTGAATCAGTAAGATGAATCTTCCTGATTCCAAGCCCAGTCCTCTTCCCCTGGCCCCTAAGACAGCTTACACACCACTAACTAAATCACAGTTGAACAATGCCATTCCCCTTTTCAAGGACCTTCAATAAAGTCCAAATCCTTCAGCCTATTCATTAAGGCCCTCCACAATAAGATCCCTAATCTATTTTAGCAACCTTATCTCCTTGACACAATGGGTGGCTGAGTGGATGAGCCTGGAAGCAGGAAGACCTGAGTTCATATTCATTCTTTGACACTAGCTGTGTGACTTTGGCCAAGTCATAATTTTTATCAGCCTCAGTTTCCTCAAGTGTAAAACTGAGATTATAATAACACCTACCTTCCAGGATTTGTTATGAGCTTCAATAAAACAATATTTGTAAAGAGGGGCTCAGCATAGAGCCTGGAACATATTAGGCACTAAACAAATGTTTCATTTCCTTCCTCCCTCCCTCCCTCCCTCCCTTCCTTCCTTCCTTCCTTCCTTCCTTCCTTCCTTCCTTCCTTCCTTCCTTCCTTCCTTCCTTCCTTCCTTCTCCAGAATGGCTTGTTTGCATTCCCTACATACATATTGCATAGTTACAACAACTCTGTAATTTTCTTCACTCTGATGATTGTATCTTGACTTCAACAATTCAGTAGATGTTTACTCTGTGTCTATTATGTGTAGCAAAGACAAGCACGAAGCTACACATACACACACCACACAAATACGTATATATATGTATATATAAATATTACGTGTGTGTGTGTGTGTACACACACACACACACAATTTAAATTTCTCCTCACCCTGTAAGGTTACTAGAACATGTATTATTATCCCATTTTCCAGATGAGTAGAACAGACCTAGAGAGGTTATGTGACCTGCCCTAGGCCAAATAATTAAGAGAAGCCATAGCCAGGGCTTCAATTGGCCTCTTTGGAGTCTTTGCCCTCTCCTCTCTGCCCTGTGCCTCTCCGTAGCCTTTCTGTCGTGGTTGGGCCAAGTGCTACCTCCTTTGTGATGCCTCTGCTTGCTGAAAGTGACCTCTTTCTTCCCTGATTGCCTGGAAGTATAAATTATCTATGCCAGTTCTTTAACATTTATTATAATGGTACAAGCACACGTTTTTAGAAGCACACCTCTTGTTTCTTTTCTTAGACTAAGCTTCTTGAGGAGTTCATCCTTTGACCTCTTCTTACTGTGTCTTTTATGTCACAGATGTTTAATATCAATCTCGCAACAGACCCTGCTTGGGTTTTACTTCATGTTTCCAAAGCTTTCTATCTACTCTCTCCCCTCTTCTGTACCTTCTGATTGTCTTTCATCTTCCCACCCATTTCCCCTGATCCTAACTTTCCTGTATCAAACACTGCAGATTTTTAGTCTCTAACATTATGCTTTGATGAATGGTGTTGATCCCACCCTCCTCCACAATGCATCTCTCCCCAAACTGAAAATTGTCTTCTTCCTAGTTGCCTAAGGCCAGCCTCCCCTTTCACATTAGGCTGTGAACTTCAGGAGACATGAGATATGGCAGTTAGAATTCTAGGAGAAAAGCCCTCCTAGGCAGCCATGAGATTTCCTCTCCTCAATCCCATAATCTTGTGAGAAAATGTAACTGTAGATAAAAATTGGCCCCACATTTCCAGAGAGATGTAAACATAGATAGACATACACAAATGTAAACTTCTTTCCCTACCACCCACAAATTCACTTCTCTAATGTTTCTGCAACTTTCCTACCAGGTCAGAGAAGTCACAGCAGTTCTCTTTAGAATGACAAAAAAACAAAACAAAAACCCATTGTTGTAACCATTTTTATACAAGATTGGATTAGAATATCCCGGGTAGGGGCGGGGCAAGTTGCCTTGGAAAACATGACTAGGGCTGACCCCCTCTGTTCTCTTTTTTTCCTCTCCCCACTTTGCCCATTTTCTGGTAGAATGTCACCTAAAGAGGGAAAACCTGGTAAAACTATGTGGGCTATTAAATGTTTGAGGTCCCCTATGAATCTCCATTTTTTTCTCCTTTCTCTTTTTTCAATGTGCCCTCCCTACCAGATGCCAATGTTCTGAGGCTGCTAACTTGGCCCAATTCAGTAGAAAAAAATTTGACAGATTCATATTAGAATGTTAGGGATCCCTCCCAGACTATCTTCATTTTTAAAAGACAATGGCAAGGGAAAGAGGGGAATAATGCTGAATACAAAAGAGTAAACCAATTTGACAGTAGATTTGTAAGCATCATCGGAAGTCTCCAAATCACTTAAATAAAGGCCATCTCTGCTCACAAAATATGTTCCTATCTCCTTAGGGGTCCCATTAACAAAATGGTACCCGAATGGTGTGGACACTATCCCTCCCTTAAGAGAGGCATTCTGGAAACAGAGCCTATCTTGGAATCATGCATGTGAATTTGAATCCTATGTCTGCCACTTAAATACCTATGAGACCCACGGCTGGAATGCATTCCATCTTCACCTCCAGCTCTCAGAATCCCAAATTTCCATCAAGGCTAGGCATCAAGAGCAACCTTATTCATGAGGCCTTTCATGACTGCCTTCTCCCCCCTCCCCCACTCCTAGTTGCTAGCATTTCCTCAAAATCACCTAGTATCTGTTTTGCATCTATGTATGCATATGTTGTCTTCCTTGTCTAGATTCTAAGTTCCTTGAAGGCAGTGACTATTTTCACTTTTGGCTGTATACTGGCTCCAATTCCTATCAGGATGCTTGACAGTAAGCACTTAATAAGTGCTTCTTGATGAATTAAAGCCACAACCTCTTTTGTCCTGGGTTTCCAGTAATTAAGTAATAATAGCATTTGTACTGGCAGTTAAAGGTTTGCAAAGGGCTTTACATTTTTTATCTCATTTGATCCTCACAACAATCCTGTGAGGTAGATACTATTATTATCCTCATTTTACAGATGAGAAAACTGAGGCTGAAAGAGACTAGGTGATTTTCCCAGGGTCACACAGCTACTTAGGTGTCTGAAACAGGACTTGAACTCAAGTCTTCCTGACTACAAGTCCAGTGCACTATCCATGGAGTTTCTTTGCTGCCCCACAAGTGGCCCTAGCTCCCTTTCATCTCTAGATATATAAGCCTCTCACCTCCTTGCATAGATCTATGCCAATAATCCCTCTACAATCTTCTATGTGAATTTCTGTTGTTGTTATTATTATTGTTACTTCAGAGAGGCAGCAGGGTATCTACTATGGTAGAAAGAGGGCTGGTCTTGGAGTCAGGAAGACCTGAGTTCAAATCCTACCTCTGACACATACTGGCTGTGTGACCTAAGCAGCTCTCTAAGACTATAAATTACAAACAAATGACCACTGTGAGCTTGGGTGGGGAGGTTTCCATATTAAAAGTTCTCTATGCTGATGAAATTATACTTCTGAACCCAGGCCCCAGATTAGTACTTCAAAGATCTGTCATTTGTCATGGTGAATATTCCCTCTATAGACCTAGATCGCAATCTTGTCACAACTTATTAGATGGTCTTTAAGAGCTGCTAAAACATTAATTACTCTACAATCTTCCTGGTAATGAGCGTCTCCAAATTTATCTAGGTTGGTCCTTAGACAGACAGATATACAGGCCATCATCTTGTACCTCTAAGAAAGCTTTCCAGGGGTAGGCAGAGTGTTCAAGGACTCGGGGTCACTTTCATTCCACAATGGGTCATGTAGTAGGAAATTAGTGGAGGATCATTAGTAACATCATCTAGTGGTACAGTGGATCAAGTTCTGAATCTGGAGTCAGATTGACCTGTGTTCAGATCTGGTGTCAGATACTTATTAGCTATGTGTCTCTGGGCAAGCCAATTCACCTCAGTTTCTGCATCTATAAAATGAGGATAATAATAACACCTAACTCCCAGGTTTGTTGTGAAGGAAAAAATTGAAATGATGTCTGTAAAGTACTTTGCAAACCTTAAAGATTTGCTGCTGTTTGTTGTTACAGCAATAATAAAGCTCTAAAAACTCCTGGCTAGATTTTAAACAATAAGTAGCTAGTTTTTTAACAGCCTCATTCTCTGGGGGACCCACATTTTAGAGAAACCACAGAAGGAGCTCCAGATTGGAGGTGTGAGAGAGAGAAATCCCTTTTCCCAACCGGGATTCTGAATTTAAAAAAAATGCCACAGAGCTCCCAGATAAAGGGAATTGAATTTCAAAATGTACAAGAGAGATGAAAGGGGAGACAGAATGAAAGAGTTGCAGATATGGTGAATATTTTTTGATTAAAGTGATTTAACTTGGTATTCAGTATCCTTCTTATTGTGATGACTTCTAACATCATCTTTTTTCCTGGTCTTTATTCCCAACTCTTTCATCTTATCTTTTTCTAGCTTCTGCTTTGAGAATTATATATACATACAGAGAGAAAAAGAGTGAGAGAAACCTGTGTCTGAAAGTTTCAGACTTTGTAAGGACCTGTATGAAGCTACAAAAGAGGGTTACAGGAGAAGGAAGAAAAGGAGGGGAAGGAGGAGGAAATGGAGATAGGGGGAAAAGATTATATTATGTTGTTTTGTAGCCATGAAAATGGCAAATCTAGTTTTGTAGTAGTTTCACCCAAATTTAGGGGCCAATTCCTCTTTTGGTTGAAGCCTTCCTAGGAAGAATTGAATTGCATGCCACATAGCAAGGCCCCAAATTAAGTGAACAGAAAGAGGAAGGTTTCCTTCCAAGTGGTACCATCATTAGAACTCTGCTGAGAAACAGTTAAGGAAATTACTTGATTACCCATGCAGTGAGACAGAGACAGAGAGAGAGAGAGAGAGAGAGAGAGAGAGAGAGAGAGAGAGAGAGAGAGAGAGATGATACTTACTTCACAAATCTTTTCCAAGGAAGGGACAAAGAAGTCATCACACACAATGGCCAAAGCATAGAACATGTACATGGCCTGAAAGAGAAGAGAAAATATTCAGGGCTAGAACATAAAAATGATAACAACAGCTGCCATTTACACAGTGCTTGAGTTTGCTTTTTGTATATTATCTTATTTGATCCTCACAATAGCCAGTGAGGTAGGTACTATTATTATCCCCATTTTTCAGCTCAATCTATCAACAAACACTCATTAAACACCTATTATATGCCAGAAACTGTTCTGGGTTCTGAGGATTCAAATATAAAGAATGAAACTATATTGCTGTTACTGTATATAATGTTCTTTTGGTTCTGCTCGTTTCGACCTTCATTATTTTGTGTGAGTCTTTCCATGTTCTTCTAAGATCATTGGGCTCATCATTTCTTATAGTACTGTAGTATTCCATTACAATTATGTATCACAGCTTGTTCAGCCATTCCCAATAGATACCTGTCAAACCTGCAATTTCCATTTCTTTGCCATTACTAAGAGATCCGCTGAAACATTTTAGAATATATAGATTCTTTTCCTTTTTACCTGATCATCTTTGGAAACACATCTGGAGAAGTATTGCTGGATCAAAGGATATAGGCAGTTTAATAACTCTTTGAGCTGAGTACATCATTTTCGCTATTATAAATACCCAAATTAACTATAAAGGACATTTAGGAAAGATAATCTCTGCATCCAGAGAAAGAACTGATAAATAGAAGTATGTCTTGAATAATTTTACATATATATATACATACACATACACATACATACATATCTATATCTTATATCTATTTGTGTCTAATGGTAGTCATCTCTAAGGTGAAGGGGGAGAGGAGAAGAAAAAAAGGAAAAAAATTACATGATAACTATTATATATTTGAAATGAATAGAAAGTTACATAATAGATTTGCAGTTTTATATGCAATCATCTTTTTTTATTATAATATGTTATAGAAATGCTCATTTTATCCCATAAATTAAAAATAAAATAAATTTTTAAGAAAGAATGAAACAGTCCCTATTCTCATGGAATTTATATTCTAATGAGGGAGACAAGTATACACATACACATACATGTATGTATACACATATGCAGAATATAGAAAATAAATAGAAATATAACACAAAGAAGTTAAATACAAAGTGGTAAGGGAAGGCACTAGCAATTAGGTCAGGATCAAGAATGGTTTCCTAGAAAGTATAGCATCAGCTATGTCTAGAAGAAAGAAAGTGATTTCTATAAAACAGAGGTGAGGAGAGACTACAGATAAGGAAACTGAGGCTGAGAGGGGTTAAGTGACCCAGCCATGGGTGTATGAGGCAGGATTCTTACCAAGATCTTCTTAGCTCCAAGGCCTATAATCTATACATTACAAGTAGGCTGCCCAAAGAAAACCATGGAAATAAAAGACCCAGGTTTTCAGCTTTGGGATAGATTGCTGCATGGAAAGAATGTTTCTGTTGAAGCAAGGGTAATTAAAACAAACAAAATAGATTGGTTCAATAATACCCTTTGTCATTGTTAGGTAACAATTTCTCCTAAGACTTCATGAATAACTCCTTTTAACTTTGTAGACAGCAGTCAAGTAATAATGATAGGATCCCAAAAGAATTCTTCCTCTTAAGATCATAGAAAGTGATACTTCCCCTGTGAATTCCAAATACACGTCAGCCACTACTGATCTTATTTTGATGCCTCTTCAAGGTTTCAAGGGAAAGAGAAAAAATAGTAAAATCACCACAAAAGTAATTATCTTAACTATGTTTTTCTCTGTTATACATAATGTTTGAGTGGGAAAAAATCTGAGGGAATATAAACAATGATCCCTATGCTTGGAAGTCTGAGGAGGAACCCTATTATAACGAATGTACTTGTCTACAAATTAGATGAGTTGCAGGTGTGTTAAAAGTAATATGGTGTGCCTATGTATAATTGCCCAGAGATGAGCACAGGAATACTTATATGCTGGTTGTGGTCAACTGCATCATAATTACTCTTCCATGGGCAAAGGAGAGAAGTGGAACTAGCAGTGTAGATGCTGAAATGTGAATCCATTGCAGCGTTACCTCTCTTGTTAACCGTTGGGCCCCTGATTTGTTTAATTAGCAGATCCTTCCAGTCACCAAAGTTCATCTCTTTGCAGTCATTCTTGTCTTTTCCTCCTCTTTCATCTAATCCATTGACAACTTCTGTCTCTTCTACCTTCACAACATCTCTTGCCACTTTCCCTTTCATGTCACTCATTGAGCCTTAAGTCTAGATCGGGCCCTTGTCCCCGTCCTAGCTGAACTACTGCAATAGCTTTTTAATTGGTCTCCCTGATTCTAGTGTCTCACTCTCCAATCCATCATTCACATTAGCTGCCAGATTAATATTCCTAAAATGCAGTTTCAGTCATGTTACTGCCCTGTTCAAAAAGCTTCAGTAGCTCACTATTACCTCACTATTACTTCTAGGATAAAGTGCAAAATTCTCAGCCTGGCATTTAAAACTCTTTACAAGGTATCTTTTATGTCACTCTATTTCATTCACACTGATCCAGGAGCTGTCACCTGTCTCAACTCTGTCCCTTTTTGTAGGTTGTCTCTTAGTGACCATGTTGGACTTAGGTTGACATAGTGATAACTAATGTTTATGCTTTTTTTTTTTAAAGCCAAGATGCTATAGGCCTGCTGCATCCTCATGACGCTACTTTTTTAAAGTCTAGTCTTGGGGCTTTGAATGCCAGTTCCCGTTTATTAATTCCTCACTGTTACCACCTGTCCTAGTGATCTGGACTCCCTTGTTATGGAGTCAAATCTTTTGGATGATGCTAATAAAACCTCACATTTCTATAATGCTTTAAGATTTGAAAAAAATCCTTTTACATATTTTCATTCAATACTCATAAGAACTCTATTAGGTGAGTGCTATTATCGTCATCCCCACCTTACAAATGAGGAAATGGAGGCTTAAGGCTAAGTGACTTGCCCAAGGTCAAACAATTAGGAAGTATCTGTAGTCAGATTTAAAGACAGGTTTTCTGGATTCCAGCTCCAGGACACTCTATACCAAGCTATGTCACCTTTTTGCTTGTCTCCAGCCTTGCTCCCTAAAAACAACACATGAAAGGTTTTTTTTTAAGGTTTTAAGGATTTTATTACTAAGAGTCATAAGGAGGTATATGAGGTATTAAATTATGCACATTTTATAAATGTATATAAATCTTTAATAATTAATTCTGGTTCTACCTGCAAATGTTATAGAACTAGGCCTTATACTTTTTTAGTTCCTCTTTTCTGGTCCGACAATCCCTCTTTCTCAATCTTGTCCTCTGAGTCATTTGGCCAAATCCTGTTTGGGCTGTATGTTAGATTTAAGCTCAAGTCTTCAGACTGAAGCAGATCTGGTTTTTGACAAGTATTCTTTGTGTCTTAGTGTTTATAGAATGTTTTTCTCTAACCAAGCACTAGGTGTGGAAGTCCCACACTTACAGCAGGTACTATCATCTCTAGGTTTAAAAGAGTTTTCCTTTGGGTTTCTGGCCTAAAGGTACCTTGTGATTGCCCTTGTTTTCAAAGTTATAGGTCTATTGAAATCCTGCCCTTGCCCCTGGCTCCAACCATGACTAAGAAAGATTCTTTCTTGTCTGGAATCCAATTATTCTCTCCTTCAGATCTTACCGTCCCTGGTATTTGGAAACTCTGTTCCTTTTTTCCCCCTCTTCTTCCTCATTTCTATCATTCTCTTCCCCTCTCCTTTTTCCCTCCATCTCTTCCTTATCTTCTTTTTCTGCCTCCATCTGCTAATCCTTTGTCCTGATTGCTTGGCAGGAAGCAAATTTGACAGCTGATTGTTACAAATAGTTCTGTCCTTTGTGAAGCTGGATTTAGCTATTGCCCTAGATCAGCATCTGAACCTTTACCTTATGGAGACCATATGGTCTAGTAGCACAAAGCTTAAGTCATCGTGTCTCTTTTCCTGAGCTTGCCTTTTCCCTTGGCTCTCAGAATGGCATCCTCCAATCAATTAATCAACAAGCTTTTATTCAATACCTACTATGTGTACTATTCCAGGCGCTGTGGATAGAAAGACAAAAATGAAATAGTTTCTACCCTCAGGGAACTTACATTTCTTGGGGGAGACAATGGGTACATATATAAGTATAATTAATATAGACACATGTTGTTCAGTCATGTCTGACTCTTTGTGACCCCAGAGACCTTAGTATGCCCACTGTCCATAGGATTTTCTTGTCAAAGATACCAGAGTGGTTTGCCATTTCCTTCTCCAGTGTTCTTCACCTTTTTGTCAAAACTCTCCACCCTGACCTATCCATCTTGGATATCCCTGCATGGCATAGCTCAAAGTTTCATTCAGCTATGCAAGCCTTTCTGCCAGGACAAGGCAGTGATCCAGGAGATATATTCACATGCACACATACATAGTAGAATTAATTATATAATATATACATTACAAGATATACATATATACATACATGTGTATATGTATGTATTGTGGGGCGGGGGAGCACAAGCAGCTCAGAAAAGGATCATGCAGTTGCAGGTATTGTAATTGAGCAGAATTTTTAAGGAAATAGGGGATTATTTTCCAGACTGATTCTCTGCTTTAAACTCAAAATACCTGTTTGATTTCCCTATCACGTTCCCATTTCTGGGATTCCAAAGCTCATTGTCACAAAGGAGATGACAGAGTCTGATCACCCCTTCATCTGTTTTCATTTACTTGTCCTTAGATACCTTTATACCTCCTCAGGCCAATAGTTTACCACAATCCAGGTTTACAATAGAAAAATACCTTAATCACACAGTAAATTAAACAGAGACAATTATTACTCTTGCTATTAAGGTCAGGGACATGATAACAGTAGGTACTAAAAATGATAATTTTTGTGGGTTTTTTAAAACATTCTTTTGATGTGCCATGAATCCCTAAAGAACCATTAGTAATTATTACAGACCAAATATTAGGTTGTGATGATAATTTTGTTTTAACTGATGGAAGACATTAGATGGTTGTCAGTGGCAAGTAGCACAGG